ATCCGCCTGTGAATAAGTAACGCAAACTCTTCAAAAGCTCAAACCTTTCCCCCTGTTCTCTCACATGCTCACTTTCCGCGCAAAGAAGAGGACACTCGGGAGCAGGCAGAGTGTAGTGCATGCCCACAGCTTCCTGCCTGCTAGCAATGTTGTCGGGGGCTTTCTCTTCAACAGCTTGTTTATCAGCAAGCTAATGGAGACCTTGACTTCCTGCTACGCTGCAATACCAGGATTACCATGGGTTCCTCCCCCTTTCCCACAAATACCAGCGACACAAAAGTCAGGGTCTAAAGCTAAAGCTGAAGAAAACTTTCTTCCGCATCCCCGGTCGTCCCCCCCCCCCTCCAGGGGACTGTCCTCGATCCGCCTATTCTTTCAAAGACGAAATCTCTACTTACTGCAAAAAAAGTACTGTTACTTGCCACTGTAGCATGCTCGACGCATTCCAGAAACACAGGAAGATAAAGAAAAACACAGCCCATGTGGGTAAAGTGCAAACTGCAGTGAATCTCTCCTCTCCAATCACTGCTTCGCAGCAGACTTGTTTAAATGAAAGAGACGATCTCACCCGGGTCCCCTTACAAAGCATCGATACGGTTTCGTTGTTCCATCTGCAACCACATATGTGCCAAATTCACCATTCGGAGCCTCAATGGGTACATAAGAAGCACCTGGTGGCACCTGATAGCCTTCCGTAAAGAATTTGAAGTGATGAATCAACGATTCCATGCTGTTCTGCAAATATTACTCAGTTAGAAGCGCTATGTCTGCGAGCAGGTAAAAATTCAAAAATCCAGAAGCCAACCTTCATTTCACCTCGTTTTGGTGGCACCACTTTGTGATCGTCCACTTTTATCTCACCAGGTGGCATTTTGTTCAGGCACTGAAGCACGATTCTTAAACTTTCACGCATTTCTTCCATGCGACACAGGTATCTGAGATAGTTGTAACCATTAGAAGCATGACAGCGAACTGATCAGGCAAGCAAGCTATATAAAAATGGCTATAATCCAGTAAATGGTACTCCGATGAAATGCGATTAATAATAGGTTGTTGAGTGAAGCACGGACAGGAAGAGGAGGTCTAGTGGGAAACCAGATTATAAATTACAACTATTCCAAGTATTCAGACTATATGTACAGCTAAGGGATGAAACAGACACAGAGAGACTGCATCGTAAAATGTCTTCTTACACATGACACTTAAGTCCAAGCCCTCTATTCTAATATTTCAGGTAACAGTTGTAAAGCACACAGCACGAGTGGTGCAAGGAAGGTGGTGCATGTAGCATGTGATTTCTGGAATAACGAAAGCGGAAACAGAGGGATGAAACCAACGGTATAATAACAACCAGAAGACGAAATTCAATCACAGTATCCCGGAAAAGTTGCCGCCAACTATTCTCAAAATACGATTTCGGATATTTCTGATGCTGATTGCTTACCGATCGTAGCAATCTCCTTTGG